CAGCGGAGTGAGGCCACCCAACAAAGCCCCTTTGAGATCGTGACAGGCCAACAACCGTTGCCACCTCACTATGTGACGCGAGGCTATACTGGTGCGAGTCCTGCTGCATATAACTGGGCAAAAGATTGGCAGGAGTAGCTGGATGTGGCCAAAGTCTACTTGGATAAGGCCTCCAAAAAGATGAAGAAGTGCGCAGACAAAGAGCGACGACCACTGGAATTCCGAGTGGGTGACCTTGTGATGGTGAAGCTGCCAGCCCAGCAGTTTAAAGTCTATCGACAAGTCCACAAGGGGCTGGTGCGTCGATACGAGGGACCCTATCCGATTCTTGGAAAGGTAGGAAAGGTGTCTTACCGTGTCGATTTGCCACCAAAGCTGAAGATACACCCGGTATTCCATGTGAGCATGCTCAAGCCATTCCATGGAGACCATGAGGATCCAGCATGAGGAGTGTCACAACGAGCCCCACCAGCAACAATAACCTCGTATGACAAGCAAGTGAGTGAGATCTTAGCTGATCGGGTCATTCGGCAACGGGGAGTTCCCAACCACACAGAGTACCTGGTCAAGTGAAAGGATCAGCTCGATGACGACGCCAGTTGGGAACGCGAGGAGGACTTGTGGCAGTTCTCGAGCGCCATCGAGGCCTACAAGACTAGGAAGCTTGACGAGGGCGTCAAGAGCTTTGGTGGGGGATAGTGTCATGGACCGCGAGCTCGGATGCCCAGGAGAAGGGTCCCAACGCCAGGGTCGCGGTACAACGTCACGGGCTCGACGGCCTGGTGCGCTAGCGCGCAACGTCCAGATGGCACAGCCGCAAGCAGGAACGGTATCGACGCCCAGGCGCGAACCAGGATCGCGCAGAAGTCTCCAGAAGCAGCCTGTGAAAAGGATAAGGACCAGAACAGTGCTGAGAAGAGATAAGGACGTGAACAGTGCTGAGAAGAGATAAGGACGTGAACAGTGCTAAGAAGGGATAAGGACGTGAACAGTGGTCTGGTCCTGGGCTGCCTGTAGAAAATTCTAAGAGCCTTGTACATAATTCTAGAGTAAGGAGAA